CCACTTAGGCACGATCTTCTGCCACAGACCTGTATGCAGGACTTGTCTATATGTGGTTCAGTGTAAAAGTTTTGAATTTTCAAATGCCACCTTTCACATACATCAGGCATTCTATTGCACGAGCCGCAATGTTATTAACGCCATCAACGTCAAGATTTGTGGCATGAAATACATCTTTGAAGCGAGTCTATGACTGGCTGACAGGTTGAGACAACATCTTTGAAACGAGTCTACGACTGGCTGACAGGTTCAGACATCTTCGAAACGAGTCTACGACTGGCTGACAGATTTAGACAACATCTTCGAAACGAGTCTACGACTGGCTGACAGGTTGAGACGACATCTTCGAAACGAGTCTACGACTGGGTGACAGGTTCAGACGACATCTTCGAAACGAGTCTACGACTGGCTGACAGGTTCAGACGACATCTTCGAAACGAGTCTACGACTGGCTGACAGGTTCACACGACATCTTCGAAACGAGTCTACGACTGGCTGACAGGTTCACACGACATCTTCGAAACGAGTCTACGACTGGCTGACAGGTTCAGACATCTTTTAAATATACAGAATAGTGCCCGGAAACCAGTACCGTAGCACTCCAGTTCTCGTGATCACAAAGGTATCCTCGACGGCCTTTAAAAAATCTTAGTCTTCTTCGGGAGACGTCAGTTGAGTCATTTTGTGCACTATTTGTGTTTTGATTGATTTATGTTTGTGCTCTGTAGTCAAAACGTTCACTTTTTGTTGTGTTTGTTATATTGTAAAGCTCAGGGATCTACTTTTCTTTTAATTTTATATCTTTCCATGATTTGTTTTCAAAACTGACCTTGGGTCCCCACAGTGCTGTCTGAACGCATAGGCCCAGTGGGCACTTGCCTGGAAGAGTCAGAAGCATGAGGAGGCCATGCTAATCTGTGTATGTCAAGTTAATAGCCATAATTACAATTTTAATTCCTGTGAGTCGTTGTCATATGGGACTCAGCACAGTGGTTTATCTAGGGGCCCAAATACGGGTGGTAAGGACGGCTTCGGCTCCCAGGTTGACCTAGCATTAAGTGTTACCAGGAGTAAGAACAGCCACATGATGTCGAAATACATCACCAACTAAATGTAGACCAGTTTATAAAACATCGAGTCTTGCCTAATATGCCCGTTGCGTCACTAGCGTTTAAGAAAAATTTAAATAGTTTCTTGTTTCGGGTTGTTCATTTTTATATTCCTTGTTATCTATGGCAGTGGATTGGTAATTATCGTTCTAGGTATTCGGAGTCAATCAAATTGTGGGAGGGAGGATTGCAACCACGGGAGTTGAGGTCCATCTACAGCTGACCCAGGGATCAAAGATCCTGGGTGGCATAGGAATTCGGAATGACGGAAAGGCTGCAAACGGCGTTTTCACGGTGAGTCATTGACGTCACTCCCTCTCTCCCTCTCCCCCCTCTCTCTCTCCCTCTCTCTTGCCCCCTCTCTCTGCGTCTCTGTCTGCCTCTCTGCCTCCTTTCTTTCTTTTTTTGTTGTTGTCAGGACAGCCGCCGTTATGTGGCGTCTAGTGATTTTCAACCTACCTAAAGTCGCGACCCTTTGATACAGTTCCTCATGTTATGGCGACGCTTTAATATAGTAACTCATGTTATGGCGACACTTTAATATAGTACCCCATGTTATGGCGACGCTTTAATATAGTACCCCATGTTATGGCGACGCTTTAATATAGTACCTCATGTTATGGCGACACTTTAATATAGTTCCTTGTGTTATGGCAACTCTTTAATACAGTTCCTCATGTTATGGCGACCCTTTGATACAGTTCCTAACATTGTGGCGACCCTTTAATACAGTTCGTCGGGTGGTGGTGACCCTTTAATACAGTTCCTCACGTTTTGACGATCATTTAATACAGTTCCTTATATTGTAGGGACCACTTAATACAGTTCCTCATGTTGTAGCGACCCCCAACCCTATAGTTATTTTCGTCACTTCTTCATAACTTTAATAAATATTCTTTTTGCGATGGTCTAAAGCGACAACCGTAAAAGGGTCGTTCGACCAAAAAAAAAAAAAAAAAAGGCTGCAACCCATAGTTTGAGAACCACTGATCAAGAAACTCGCCTGTAGATTCCAGGGTCATGGTTTCGGTTGCTGATGAAACCGGACATATTTTTCAGAAATAACCTTGGCTCCCAGCTTCGACCAACCTGAAAAAGGTACCAGGTATAGTCTTGGGAGTTCAACATGTATCCCCTCATGCCTTCTTGGATTGCAATTGTTCGTTATTCGAAGCCCTTCTTTGGCTGATTCCAGGGCCTGCAATATAGCCCGGCCATAAAAATGGTCTAATGGCTGAACGCGGTTTTCTGGGACCTCTCCACGGGTGATCCTCGTCCACATGGTGGCACTTTGTGTCATCTGGTGTTTAGTGCTTGTGTGATTTCCTAGTAGGGTAAAAGAAGATAGATAGTCCTGTGAGATTAGGGCTTCCGGCCACATTGTCAACCGAGTGCCGGAGTAGCCCTATATGCCCAAAACGAATGCAGACATAGACAAAGTGTCCTTAACTGTTGGACTATTGAGCTGAGTAAAATTAACAACCTATATAAAAATGCTCATGAAATTTCCATAAGCGATCCTTCCCATCTTCAGCAGCCAGCGTAGATTTCCAGCGTCAGACTGTTGTTCGTAAGCAGTCAGGAACTATACGAAATTTAAAATAAAATTTAAAAAAAAACCTTTTATGTTACGCTGGAAACAATGAGTAAAATATGACACGTCCATACCTTCAGCAGACAGCGCAGAATTTTACCGCTAAAGGTGCCATTTGTAGTCTGATTAAAGTACGCAAATTTATATAATACCTTAAGAGATTATGTCATAAATCAATGATCTCCTTTGAGTTAACTGAGAAAAACTTTATATCTTCTTCTTCTTCTCTGCGTTCGGTTTCGTAGGCCGAGATCAGACCATCAGACGGGCTTTTCTTTGAACTCGCTTGTCAGTAGCAGGTCCTTAATGGTTCTCCATTGCTTGCTCTGTACACTTTGCTCTTGAGGCCCGGTATCTTCACTTCATTCAGGAGTGGCACCCAAGTGATAAGATTGTTACAGATTCCAAAGATAAAAGTTAACATTGGTTTGTTCATTATTTTGATGATTTTTCAAATGTAGACATGAATTTTGAAACAAACTTTATGTGATGGACAAGCTGAACTAAACAAGAATGTGTGCTACCCCGAGAGCACCAAGATGTTAAAGGATTTGTCATCTAGACGAACAGTCAGTTGACCTCACATGTGAATGGTAAGGAGATGTCAATACTGATGGCAGATCAATGTGTTGGTGTGCTACCCCGAGAGCACCAAGATGTTAAAGGATTTGTCATCTAGACGAACAGTCAGTTGACCTCACATGTGAATGGTAAGGAGATGTCAATACTGATGGCAGATCAATGTGAACCTGATGAAAACGATAGATTTATTAAAGTTATTTTTTTTTAAAGGAACAAAAAAAAAAAAAAAAAAATTATAATTCACCGTGTATATTGGTACTTATCACGAACTCACCTGCAAAGCGAAAACTCCTTTCCCTCCCATTCATACCGCGGTCGGTTGCACGGCCTGCACCATGTGGTGGGGTTGTTTGTATTATTTATATTCAACAGTTTAACCCTTGTCTATTTTATCGTGTTGTCACAGCTTCCTTGCGTTATAATTGCTCAGTGGTGCTATTTGTCTGACGGTTCATGAGTATCAAAACTGGAATGTTTTTGTGCTTCTACGTTCCTTGTCTGTGAGGTCTTTTTTCTGGGGGGGGGGGGGGGGGGGTGAGTGGAGGTGGAGTGGTGGGGTGGGGAGGGGGAGGAGGAAACGAAGACACCGTCAAGGGACGTAGAAACATAAAAATATTCCAGTTTCGATACTCACAAACTTCTTACTAACGAAGAGGCGACTGCGGCGCATCAAAAATACGGCAAGCGAACCTCGAACAAAGCCATTTCACAACTACGTAGGGCAGGCTGTGCCACGCGATACAAGGATTGCTGGTAAAAATGGCGAAAAAAAAATCGTGTCCTTTACAATTGTTTTGGTAATTCTTTCACTAATTTCTGCCAAGACAAAATGGAACAATATCATTAGGATGGCACTATGTTTTTCACACTATAACTGGAATTGTGTTTGTGTTTACAGTACACAGAGCGAGGCAGGAATCAATTTATCAACGAGCTTCCGGTTACGGGTATTGTGAGTACGAGGCTTTCAGTACAAACATGCAAATGTGGTTTTGTGATTCTTCTTCGCATACTTTGTGTTCTTTTGTCCTGTTATTTTTGTTTGGTTCTCTTGTTCTTGTTTATTGTTCTTGTTCTTTTGCCTCTTTTTTGTGTTCTTTTTTGTTCTTATTCTTCTTGTCCTTGTTCTTATTTCTTGTTCTAATTTTTCCTGTTCTAGTTTTTTTCTTCTTATTGTTCTTGTTCTTTTTGTTCTTATTTTTTGTTCCTCTTTTCTTGTTCTTCTTCTTGTTCTGGTTTTTTCTTCTTGTGGTTACGGCTCTTTTTTATGATCTTGTTTTTTTTAGTTCCTAATGTTATTGTTGTTCTTGTTCTTGTTCTTTTTTGTCTTTGTTCTTCCTGTTATTGTTCTTTTTATTCTTGTTTCTATTGTTCTTGGTCTTATTGTTTTTATTGTTTTTGTTTCTATCGTTCTCGTTTTTTGGTTCTTTTCTGCTTGCTCTTATTGTTCCTGTTCTTTTTTTTTTGTTCTTGTTCTTCTTGTTTTTAATTATTGTTTCTTTTATTCTTGTTTTGTTTTCTTGTTTTTCTTGCTCTTATTATTTTTGTTTTCGTTCTTGTTTTTGTTGTTATTGTTCTTCTTTTCCTCTTCTTCTTCTTCTTCCTCCTCCTCCTCTTCTTCTTCTTCTTCTTTCTTCCTCCTCCTCCTCCTCTTCTCTTCTTCTTCTTCTTCTTCTTCTTCTTCTTCTTCTTCTTCTTCTTCTTCTTCTTCTTCTTCTTCTTCTTCTTCTTCTTCTTCTTCTTCTTCTTCTTCTTCTTCTTCTTCTTCTTCTTCTTCTTCTTCTTCTTCTTCTTCTTCTTTCTTCTTCCTCCCCTCTTCATCCTGTCCTATCCACTCTTCTCTTCTCTCTCTATCCCTCTTAAAAATGAGTATTTGGAAGAGCCGAATTGGGGTGCTTGCTGGTTGTAGCTGTCACGTTCTAACTGTCACGTTTTAGCTGTCACGTTCTAACTGTCACGTTTTAGCTGTCACGGTGAAAGATGAAGATTTTGAAGACTCAAATGAAAGATGTTGCTTTATTTTCTCTCTCTCTCTCTCTCTCTCTCTCTCTCTCTCTCTCTCTCTCTCTCTCTCTCTCTCTCTCTCTCTCTGTGCGGGGGGGGGGGAGGGCAGGGGTGTGGTGTGTGTATCACACGCTTGGTCATTTTGCCAGGAAAAGAGCAAGAAAAGACAGATGGTGTGACCCTATGGCAAAGATAAGACAAAAACACAGACACCATTTATCCTTCTGGAGATCGTGTGAAATGATTAACCATAATCATCTTTGTTTTTCGGCTCTGCAAATGACGCGTGCAATTTTTCAGGTTCGCTTTTTTTCTTCAAATTCTTGCCCTGTGTGTTCCCGTAAATGTCATAGCAGTAAAGCAATTAACACAGCTGTTAACATCCGTAGGATGAGCAAAGTGACGATTCAATGGCTGATGGCAGTGGGAGTGGAGATGGCAGCCTTATAGACGACGACGAAGACAATGACAAGTATGACTGGGGTCCGCCTGAAGAACTGGACGTGGATGGTGAGAGAGTGGTGTCTCAGATTGACGAGGACAACTTTGCCACAGTGGATGTGCCCAGCTGCGGGACTACAGTTCGTTTTAGGGCGCCTGATCTTGAAGCTGTGGACGACAGTCAAACACCGGGACCTCTCTGTGAGCATTAGCAGGAATCAAGGTAACAAGGTGGGGGCGGGGACTGAGGGGTGGAGAGTGAGTTGCTGTGTATCCTGAGAGTTAGATAGATGGATGTTTTGAATGATGGATGGTTGGAGAGATGAGCTTTTTGAATGATTGATGGTTGGATTTAGGGATTTAATGAATGATGGATGGTTGGAGAGATAAGTGTATTGAGTGATGGATGCATGGATATAGGGATGTAGTGAATGATGGATGGTTGGAGAGCTGGATGCATTGAACCATTGACTCGTTGGTAGATATTTGTAGTGAATGATTGATGGTTGGATAAAGGGATGTAGTAAATGATGGTTGGTTGGATAAAGGGGTATAGTGAATGATGAATGGTTGGATTTAGGGATGTAGTGAATGACAGATGTTTAGATATAGGGATGTGGTGAATTATGGATGCTTGGATATAGGGATATAGTGAATGGTGGATGGTTGAATATAGGCATGTAGTGAATTATGGATGCTTGGATATAGGCATGTAGTGAATGATGGATGGTTGGAATTAGGGATATAGTGAATGATGGATGGTTGGATTTAGGTATATAGAGAATGATGGATGGTTGGATTTAGGTATATAGAGAATGATGGGTGTTTGGATATAGGAATATAGTGAATGATGGATGGTTGGATTTAGGTATATAGAGAATGATGGATGGTTAGATTTAGGTATATGGAGAAGGATGAATGGTTGGATTTAGGTATATAGAGAATGATGGATGGTTGGATTTAGGTATATAGAGAATGATGGATGGTTGGATTTAGGGATATAGTGAATGATGGATGGTTGGATTTAGGTATAGAGAGAATGATGGATGGTTGGATTTAGGTATATAGAGAATGATGGATGGTCGGATATGAGGATGTAGTGAATGATGGATGGTTTGAGAGATGTACACATTGAATCATAGATTAGGATGTAGATGTTTGTTTTAAAAAAAAGGATGGTAGATAAAAAAAGTGGATTGAATGGTGAATATTAAAAAGTCAACCCAGTCAACAAATGCTCGATAAAGTCGGATGTGTTGGCCGAAAGGTGCAAATATCGCAGCTTTGCTGTAAACTGGCACTGGACAATTGTGTCGCAAACAAATGAAAAGAAGAAGAAGAATGCACAGTGCAAGAATAGATGAAAGATTAAGTGATGACTAGATGCACATATATAAGATTAAATATTTAAAAATAAATGAATGGATATCAGCTGATAGACAGATCGGTGAGTTAAATAATAGAAGGATGGACGAGTCTGTGAAATTATAGATGAAATGATGCGGTAAATACTTCTTATAAAATAATGAATAGATGCATGAACTTAATTATAAAATGATGGATGGATGCATGAACTTAATTATAAAATGATGGATGGATGCATGAACTTAATTATAAAATGATGGATGGATGCATGAACTTAATTATAAAATGATGGATGGATGCATAAACTTAATTATAAAATGATGGATGCATGCATGAACTTAATTATAAAATGATGGATGGATGCATGAACTTAATTATAAAATGATGGATGGATGCATGAACTTAATTATAAAATGATGGAATGATGGAAGGATGCATGAACTTAATTATAAAATAATGGAATGATGGAAGGATGCATGCACTTAATTAAAAGATAATGGAATGATGGATGGATGCATGAACTTAATTATAAAATAATGGATGGATGCATGAACTTAATTATAAAATGTTGGAATGATGGAAGGATGCACAAACCTAATTATAAAATGATGGAATGATGGATGGATGCATGAACTTAATTATAAAATAATGGACGGATGCATGAACTTATTTATAAAATAATGGACCGATGCATGAACTTAATTATAAAATGATGGATCGAGGTATGAACTTAATTATAAAATGATGGATGGATTCATAAACTTAATTATAAAATGATGGATGGATGCATGAACTTAATTATACAATGATGGATGGAGGCATAAACTTAATTATAAAATGATGGATGGATGCATAAACTTAATTATAAAATGATGGATGGAGGCATGAACTTAATTATAAAATTATGGATGGATGCATGAACTTAATTATAAAATGATGGATGGAGGCATGAACTTAATTATAAAATGATGGATAGATGCATGAACTTAATTATAAAATGATGGATGGATGCATAAACTTAATTATAAAATGATGGATGGAGGCATGAACTTAATTATAAAATGATGGAATGATGGAAGGATGCATGAACTTAATTATAAAATGATGGATGGATGCATGAACTTAATTATAAAATGATGGATGGAGGCATGAACTTAATAATAAAATGATGGATGGATGCATAAACTTAATTATAAAATGATGGATGGATGCATAAACTTAGTTATAAAATGATGGTTGGATGCATGAACTTAATTATAAAATGATGGATGGATGCATGAACTTAATTATAAAATGATGGATGGATGCATGAACCTAATTATAAAATGATGGATGGATGCATAAACTTAATTATAAAATGATGGATGGATGCATGAACTTAATTATAAAATGATGGATGGATGCATGAACCTAATTATAAAATGATAGATGGAGGCATGAACTTAATTATAAAATGATGGATGGATGCATAAACTTAATTAAAAAATGATGGTTGGATGCATGAACCTAATTATAAAATGATGGATGGAGGCATGAACATAATTATAAAATGATGGATGGATGCATAAACTTAATTATAAAATGATGGATGAATGCATGAACTTAATTATAAAATGATGGATGGATGCATGAATTTAATTATAAAATGATGGATGGAGGCTTGGACTTAATTATAAAATGATGGATGGAGGCATGAACTTAATTATAAAATGATGGATGAATGCATGAACTTAATTATAAAATGATGGATGGATGCATGAACTTAATTATAAAATGATGGATGGATGCATGAACTGAATTATAAAATGATGGAAGGATGCATGAACTTAATTATAAAATGATGGATGGATGCATGAACTTAATTATAAAATGATGGAAGGATGCATGAACCTAATTATAAAATGATGATTGGATGCATGCAATAAATTATTAAATGATGGATGGATGCATGCAATAAATTATAAAATAATGGAAGGATGCATGAACCTAATTATAAAATGATGAATAGATGTATGCAATAAATTATAAAATGATGGATGCATGCATGAACTTTTTTATAAAATGACGAATGGATGCATGAAATATATTATAAAAGTTGAGATGATTGCATGTAAAAAATTATAATTTAATGGTTTGTTGCATGGACAAAAAGACTAATGAATGAAAGGATTGGTATATGGATGGATTGTTGGTCTGACAAATAATCAGACAGACAGATGTATAAAAACATTTTTACACTTAAAAAAAAAAAATAAAAAAATAAAAAAAATAAAAAAAATTGCACTATATGCTAGACATATGAGGCATTGCAGGTTATAGAATAAAAAAATAAAATATGCACCAGGTGTTAGTCAGTAACCATAGTTGTTTATTTAACGGGCGATCCTCATTGCACATGGAACCGTTCTGTCCATAAGTGTATGGATCCCCTCCTCAGCAAATCCGACGGCCAATAGCGGCAGACGACACCATTCTGTGTTGGTTTAATCTTCTTTTTCTTTGGCTTCCTGCATGAAGCTCTTGTCTAACCACACTCTTTTAAGTTGCTTTTAGTGCAGTCTGATCATGGTTTTATTTTCACAGTCATCGCCAGGTTCTCGCAAACTTTTTACTTTTCGTAGAGTGCTCACTATATCAACCTGGTCCATTGCTCGTCAGCGGTCTCCACCGTAGTCTTACCAGCAGGCCTATCATCTTGCTCAATTCCAAATACAGTAGCATGAAGTATCTCGGTCAGCTGTGACCAGCTCAAAAACACCAACGACTGTCTTCAGGATGAGCACCCCTGCATTTGTCTGTCTGTCTGTCTTTTTGTCTGTTCTTATTTCAAACATCAAATCTGCAGCTTTGGGGTCATGAAGTTAATTCATGCGATGTTTACAGAGCCCGGACTGCTCATGGGTCTGTCGACCTACACAGGGCCATTTTAGCCCCCCCCCCCCCCCCCCCCACCACCACATGTGCAACTGCCAGGGGGAGACGAGATATCGAGGGCAGCAGAATACAGCTAGATGTTTAAAAAAAAAATAATAAGATTAGTTAGACGTTAGTCTCTCCAGACTCCGCTCATATTCACACTAGCTCACTTCTGATTGGTAATTCCTGAACTCCGTGGCCTTCGCACACAAGGTTTAAGGGGGTGTTTCGCAATACCGTAGATATCGCGTGATTTATTTTTCAGTACATCAGCACCTTTACACTCCAAAAACATGGAGAAACTGGGTCTGATACAACCTCCATAGAGAGTGCTGCAACTTATGTCACAGGCATTCTCTTTTTTGAAATGAAAACGTAAATTCAAGACGTCGCAGAAACCAAATAACAGAGCGGGACACACCCATAACCTTAGGAAAGTCGACCTGCCCAACAAATTTGTGAATGAAAAGTAAAAAAGCAAAGATCGCTTTTAAGCCTTAGGCGTATCGGACATATAGGAAGAGCGTCCCATATTTTTACGGACAAATCGGCACTGGGTGGGTAGTGTGGTCAGCATTACTCCGGCCGTCTTTACTTTTCCAGGACAGCCATGCTGCTACCCATTTTAGGCCGGGTGGACCTGCGACGTCCCACACCATGATAAAAATCCTCGCATCCAGCAGTGGGTTTCGATCGCGGTACGTTGGTAATTACGAGTCGGACTCGCAACGCCTAAGCCACAGACCCCGCTGTGTGACCTACTCCTTTTGGTTAGACTAACGTCGAACTAGCCAATAATAACTAAATCTAGGATTTCTGTGATACAAAGAGCTTTCAAACTGTAATGCTTTTCCTGTGTCTTTACTGTCATAAACTGTTGTCATCAGAATAATTTACAAACCTATAATTTGCACATTCATTTAATTTGTTGTGAATTGTATTCAGTTCTTCTTCTTCAGCATTCCGAGCCCTTAAGGTTCATTGCTGCAGATATCTCCCGCCTCCGCTCATCTCTCTGGTTGGCCTTCTCTTTCTAGTTGGTGACATCAAGTGTTTGCAGGTCTGTCTGGCAATAATCTCTACATCGTCTTCTTGGTCTGCCTAGTGGTATTCAGTTAGGTGTAAATAATTCAATGCAATTTAAAATGTAAGAAAATAATTCCACGACCTAATTTTCATAGTCTAAAAACGAAGTTTAACCCAGGAAAGAGGAGGTGTAATGTTAACAAATAAACATCTAGTTTTTATGTATCTATATTTTAGGTAGTCGGCTCTGTGGCTAAGTCAATGCGAACGCTTCGTAATGCCGGAATGCCGGGTTCGATCCCAGCTGCGGACCATGCGCCTTGCGTTGGTTTCGACAGTGGTATCAAGAAAACCGACCGTCCAGAAAGCAATGGCAAACTACTGGACGTACATTTGCCTAGAAAAACCACACAACAGCCAGGAGCTGTTGGGGTTGGTTCTGCAACGTCCTGTAAAGGATTTGCTACTAACCTATAATTTTAGGCTTAGAAAAAAAAAAGAAACCGATCAAAGGTATACAGCATTATTACAGAAAATCGTTTAGGCTTAAGCTGACAAAACATTAAATTGCTGGTGTTTTGGATGTAACTTGTGCCAGAAACATTCACGTACGTATGTTGAAGAGTCAAGTGTGTACCCCATGTACTACCGTAATACTTGTGGAGTGACTAATAAAATGCACACGCTTTGTGACAGTTACTGTTTATTTTGTTAAAGGCCACACCAAATTTTTAGTCCGACAGAGATCAAAGAAATTCACTGATGTCAGAAAACAGCAGCTTCCGTGCGAATGTAAACTATAAAATCATAGGGGCACAAGAAATCTAAGACCAGTTAGTCAGTAGCATGTCCTTTGCAGAACCTTGCTCCAATAACAACCCTCCGGTAAACTGCTCTTTCACAAGCAAAATTTCCCGCTTCCAATCTGCCCATTCTGAGATCATCCGCCACATCCTGCACCCGACTTCTCTTTGGCCTTTCTCTTCCTATCTTTCTAGTCATATACACCTCCAATATTGTTCTCTCTCAACTTTCGTGGCGTTTCAAATGCCCAACATATTTCAATTTTCTGTGGCTTATCGTCTTTAATAGCCAACCTTCTTAAGTATTGAGTTCTTGAAGTATGTATGCATTCGTTCTTTTCTTCACCCATGATATTCTTAGAACCCGTCTATAACAGAATGAATTCCAGAGAAATTGGACTAAAAAGCTCAACAAAATGGGAAAGAGGAAAACGTGCACAAAACAACACAACGTAACTTTTCGGCCGGGCAACCTTTTTCAAACATAAGTGAAATACACAAACGAGGAATGGAGAGTATGCAGATCTCTAAGGGGTGACGTGAGCGACATTTAAAAACAATGTGATGCCGAAACGTTACGTTGTGTTGTTTTGTGCACGTTTTCCTCCTTCCCATTTTGTTAAGCTTTTTAGTTCAATTTCTCAGGAATTCAATGTATTAGCTTGACTGTAGCCACCCCCATAGTATCACCGTTTATAACAGTTGTATTCAAATCTAAGACCACATGCGTCAATTCGGGTTGATCCGCGCAGGAGTTTTAGAAATAATTATTGAAGTTTGAAGGCACAACTTTTGGAAGGGACTATAGTTAATTGATGCGGTGTTTCAGGACCTACATTATTCACGAGTCCGCAGACGTACTTAGCAGAAACACACACAAAGGGCACGCTGGTCCAGAGCGCTCAGCAGAAAAATATCTCGGTGGAGCAGGAGATCTTACACCGGTCGATGATGTTTGCAGCAAGACAACGCAGGTGAGGCACACACGTATACATACATAAGCACACTCGCTGACACACTCGCTTTTGCATACACTCTGACACAAATGATCCTCCATGCCGTGATGTCAAACTGTCTAGCATCTGTTTTCTCGGTCTCCCTCTGCCTCTCCTTCCCTTCAACTTTCCTACTGTTACGATATACTCCAGTTTTCTCCTTTTTATCACACGACCAATGGATAAAGATTGTTTCTTTTTGACGTTAGCAATCAGTTTTCTTTATGGGTCAGTTTCTTTTAAGACATCTTCATTGCTCATTTTATCTGTTCAGTGTATTCTTACCATTCGTTTATAAAACCATATCTTTGCAGCTTTAAAAACTATTTTCACTAGTCTACCAACTGTCGATGATTCACCTCAGAATATCAAGATACGATTTATATAGCTTCCAAGAATTCTCCTTTTTTTAAAGGCCTAATTGACAGAATGCACAAAATATTCTTTTTTTTGTAAAACGTTGCTTTTGCTTGAGTTGTTCGATATCTAACTTCCATCTGATGATATCAAGGTACGCAAGTACTAAAACATGTCAACCTGCTTGAGGTTTGTCACGTTTACTGTGATGTTGCATTTGTAATGGTCAGTTTTCTTTATAATAACCTTGTTTTTTTTTTTTTTTGTTACAGTTAAGACCATGGCCTTTGTTTTCACTTTCCGTTACAAACATATCCATCATTTCTTGCAGTTGTTTTTCATGTTTAGCCCGTTAAAACTATATCGTTAGCATATCGCAGGTTGTCAACAAATATACCCACCACCGCTAGTCTTGGCATATTGTGTAAATATCTAATTACTACCTTTATCATATTATATTACGTGTAGCAAATACTTTTTAATTTCACTCTCTCTCTCTCTCTCTCTCTCTCTCTCTCTCTCGATTTCTCTCTCTATTTCTCTTTGTCTCTCTCTCTCTCTTTCTCTCTGTCTCTGATTATACATACTGCCAGCCCCCCCCCCCCCCCCCCATCCCTACATCTTCTCCCTCGCCCTCTCATTGTCTCACTCAATACACAGTCAGTAAAATGCAGTCTCCTAACAAAACATCTGACACAGTTTTGAGATACGAAATGTGGGGCCTCTACACTCAGTAGATACAATATCGTTAGGTTGTGGCCAGGTTTTCTCACCGACATTTCCCCTTTTCCCGTCTTGTCCGTTTTTTTCGAGTTAATTTTCAAAAACACATTTCCAAATTTTTATATATTTGCTTTTTAAATTTCTAGGGTTAGCAGCCTGAATGAGATTATATGACCCAGCGAGGAGCCACTATGTGGACTCCACGCTACAGAAGCGAATCCTTAACACCCTATTCAAGTTTATAAATAAGTTATATTGGGTCATCCTATGGAGATTTTATGTCTTTACAGACGAAAACATGTTTACTGAATTATAGTTAGGCACGGAATCCATGTCACTGGAGATATTAATGAAGGTCATGGATGAAGTGCCTCCTCCCCATGGCACAAAGCCTGGGCAGTGCTGTTGAGACTCTCTTGCAGCATAAGCCCCTTCTCGACCTGCCCTGTTTACTTCACCGAAACGCCATTACAGCCTGAAAAAAAAAAAGACTTTAGAAATTTCACTGTGTTAGGGCAGTGTGCGGTTACTAAGTATAATATCTAAGGCTGTGAAGTTATGCAGATTTAAGTGGTGGCGGGGTCTTTAAGCGATGTTTAGTTAAGTTAGTTGCGTATCCTTTGCAGGACGTTGTAGAACCAACCCTACAATTTTTTGGCAGTTGTGGTTTTTTATGCAAGTTTACGTCCAGTAGTTTGCCACTGCTTCCTGGACGGTCGGCTTCTTGATACCACTGTCGAAACCAACGCAAGGCCCAAGGCCCGCAGCTGGGATCGAACCCGGCACCCCGGCATTACAAAGCGCATTCGCAACGCCTAAGCCACAGACGCCTACCCATGTTTAGTAGCGCAAAAATAATAAGTAATGATTTTAGTAACTGTTTAATAAATAAAAAACATTTGCTGATACATCAAATATTTTCTTTTATCCGTCACCAAGGACACAAGCAGGCACCGAATGCGAGGACACGGCCAAGATATACAGATCCTATTGTTTGAGTTCATCGAAGAAAATAGAAGCTTTAAAATCTTGCTCGTTTTTCCTGCATAACCCTGACTTAATTTATTGTATGGATCCACCATCAG